TATTTTCTAACGGAGCTTCTTGCCTACTACATTCAATGCTTTATCAAGTTAGATACTTAAACCCTAATCCTTAATACGTTAATTGAAATTAGAGCATTCTTCAAAAAAGTATCTGCAATTCATTTGAATGTCGATGGATTAAGACAACCTCAAGTGAACATTCTATTGTGCAAAGTTGAACAAAAAATTTCTTCTAGCTTTTTGAAACATTGGAATATCTGCTTTTTTCGTTTTGAATTTTGAAAATAATATTTTGATTTTGAAGGGTGAGAACGAACAGAGCTCATATATAAAATAGTTTAAGCAATCGAACGCAATACTACGGGTAATACGTCATCCCGAGAGATGAGCATGCCAATATAACCATGGGCTTGATGAAGTTTAGAAATTATCATGATGACATTTGGGACATGAGCTTGGTGAAGTTTGATTTGGCATGTGTGTTCAGTTTTGATGGATTTGGGGTGGGTTTGGTGGCTTGGGGTGTATTGGTGAGACGTGGGTGAAAAGTGAATAGGGGTGTGGTGGTTGTAGTGATGTGCATAGTAGAGTGATGGTTGCAATGTGCATAGTAGAGTGATGTGTAGAGTGAGGTATGGGGTGTGAATGACCAAGCCACCCAACATCTTCCTAAGGCCTTGATACGCTACCAACAAATCATCATAATCCAGCACGAATCTCGATTCGTCATGTTGGTCTTGACCAACTCACCAAAGTGTTGAGGGTTTGAGACCACCCATGCAAGACTTCACAAAAGAGTTAGGAGGTGGTTAGAATTCCTAAGTGGGGGAAATCTCATCACTAGTTTTCTAGGATAGCCAATAGGAAACTCCTATGGCTAGATTCTAAGTTCTAAGAGAAGAATTTAGATATCACAAAAGTGAGGTCAACAGTCCGGTTTGTGCACTCTCAAACTATCAAACCTGAGTCACCGCCATCTTGTGAAAGCATTGTTGCGGGACGACGTTGCCGCCAATCGACTGTCACTTGACCAACGTCAAGCTGCCACCGTCATGGCAGATGATTAACCAAGCCACTGTCACCATCATAGAACCACTGTCATTGGGTCATCGTCGTCAAAGCACCATATTTGGGCTACCACCACCACCCGACCATATACATGATTGTCGTCGAGCCATTGCAGCCACAGTCATTGTGACACCAACATTACCGTCATTCTCAAACTGCTTTCTACTAAACACACTTGTTGTTATACCACAACCATTTTCGTTGGACCTTTATTGTCACGATGATATCGCAATTTTCACCAGACCACTACAGTCATCATCGGGACACCAACACACAACTCATGTCGTTCGCCTTGCAATAAAGTCGTAGCCGGATCGTTCTAAGTTCTTTAATATTTTCTCTCATTCTTGTAATACTATTTTTAATTGTTCAAGAGCACTAAAATTCCTGTAACATACATGTTAATAGTACATCTATTTAGATTTGGCTAAGCCCCTATATTTTTTTCCCTTCCAAAATGTTCACGTAAATTATGTCTCTTCTATCAGTTTTTCTATTATTTGTTTTCGGATCTTTATTATTTGGATTTTTGTAGCATAATAAAATATGAATGCATCTCTATCATAAATTTTCTGAGACACATTTTATTATAGCATTTGACATCAATCGAAGTTAATACTCTCAAAACATGTTCAATATATGTAACAATTTATACAAATTTCCAATTTGTATTTCCGCCATCTTACTTTCCACAAAAAAAATAGATTTTATCATTCACAATAGAATTTCTTATACACCCAAATATTATGGGTGTAAACGGGCCAAGTTTGACCGAGCTCATGCTTTGTTCGTGTTCAACTCGTTAAGAAATATCACTATTCCTGTTCAGCTCGTTTATCTATCGAGCTCTAAAAATTTGATTGTGTTCGACTCGTTTGTTTAATGAGCCCAACATGAGCTGTTCGCGAACAATAAGTCATTTTAGTAACCTTAATCATTCAATTTTAGGATGTTAGAGGTAAGCGCGAGATTTAAAGTTTATTGCTTAAATTAAGAGATTCATTTGAATATAATTTAGTATATATTTATTTTATTTTTTAATTGATAACTCTAATTGATTATAAATCTTGGTAACCTTCTAGCCAATTAACTTATTTAAAAATAATACTTATTAATTATTTCGAGTCAAAATGAGTTGAAGATGAACCAAAAAAATATTATTTGTGTTCGGCTCGGTTACATATCAAGCGTAAAAAAATTGTTCTTATTAAGCTCATTTGCTAAGTGAATAAATCGAACACGAGTTATGGCCACGAAAGAGCTGGTTTGACAGCCCTCCATCCGAAAAAAAATTTGCGTGCATAAGACGTACGCAGAGCTCCGTATGTTTGTCACTTGTAAACAGGTTACAGGAAAGATTTTAGGAGGTTATAACCGCGTTATACCCTCTGTAATCTACCTGTAACCTACCTGTATCTTTTAGTAAGTTTCGCGCTTCTGTTTTCATATATAGGTAGGTTACAGGGTGGTTACAGGGGGTATAACGCTGTTATAATCTCTAGAATCCTTCCTGTAACATATTTGCGGGTTACAGACGTATCCAGCTCTGCGCACGTCTTATGTACGCAAAGTTTTTCCCCTAACATAAAAGAAATTGATTAATATTAATAACTAATAAACTAAATACAATTAATAACTGCAGTACAAACATTGTCCGAAGCGCATCAATAGAAGATCAAATTTTATAATAGCTTACAATCTGTTCGTTGAGGAAGCACAAAGAAGAGCCCAATGAGGTTCAGAAAGAGCTAATACCTCATAGAAAGCCGGAAGAAAAGAAGCGAAAAAGCTCCTGCTTTGATCACCACCGACCATGGAATCCCATACCTCCCCGTCCCAAACAACCCCCTCACAAACGGCCAGAAGGCCATCAAAATCCACCCGCAGCACACCATCTCCCCCAATCCCGACCACTTCGCCTCCCCTCCAATCCCCCAACCCGCCCGCCGGAGCAACACCATCCCCGCCGCCATGATGTGCACGAGCACCACCGCCGTGCCGGAGATAAATATCGGTGACCGGTCGAAGGTGAACCGCCCCGGTTCAACCAGGCCTGTTTGCGGTGAATGGTCCTTTCGGGTAACCTCAAAGACGGTGTCGGAGACGCCGAGGAATTTGAGGACGACGGAGAGGAAGCCCAAGAGGAAGGCGGTGATGGGAGTTATGCGCTGCATGCGGTGATTGTTCCACCATTCACGGCACGATTTCCCGCACTGCTTGAATTCTGCGACGCAGTAGATGATGTAGCTGATGAACAGCGCGGCAACGAGCAGGAACTCTCGCTCCGAAGCCTGCATATGTACCAGTAAAAATTTATTATTCATAATAATATCTTAAAAGAGACATTTTTTGTTTATATATTTTTTTATTTCCTATGTAAATAAATTTATTATATTACGAAGGAATTTTTTGCCTCACCTTTTATGAAAAATATCCTAAGTATTGAGAAGTAAATATGCAAGGCACTGGCGGAACTGGAGTTGCTTGGTAAACGTGGCCGTTAATGGGCCGTTTCTATCGAACAGAATTTCTAGGAGGCCCGTAGACCATCTTTTGAATTGAGTAAGGCTTTCTGGGCCGCCTGAAGGTGAAAGTCCAAGAAAGCCTGCTGGGTTAGGATTACAGTTGGCAGACTTCCAGCCCAAGGAATGAATTCGAATCCCAGTTAAAATGTCTTCAGTCATGGACCCATACATCCATCCTATCTGTTGCAGGCATGTTAAATAGTGAAAAAGCATATTGCACTATATTATTTGCGCATAATTACCAAATAATAAAAAAAGAGTAATTTATTTGCATAGATATAAGTACCTCTTTACCCCAGCTTGTGTTTTGCTCGTAGGTGGATGCAGCTACTTGCTTGGCTATTTCTATTTTGCTTGAAAGTTCAGTGTTGAAAGACAATCCTGGCTTGGCTTCTCGCATAATTATCACATTTGTAGACTGTATAAGCTCTTCGGAGTTTCCAAATACTCTTTTTAACTCTTTGCAAGGGAACGATTCTGCACAATATTTAATGAATGGGCATGATATTGCCATTGAACAAGACCATAATAAAAATTTTATTAATTCATTACATAACTTTAATTTATACATTTACAATTTTGATGAGTAGCAAAATTGAAAGACATGTTAGATATGCAAATACATAGAAACTTGGTGGTACCTACTTACATACCTAAATTTTTATTATATTTATCTTGAATTAAATCCAACAATTTTCAGGCCTATAACTCTAACAAACACTATAATTAAACATAATTATTTACTAATGATAATCCTACCATGTGTAGTTTTTTCCTGGCCTTCAAGTTGGGAGGGTGAACAACCGTAAATAATTTTTCGCCTGTGAAAGGATCCAGTTCCTCCATTTAAAGGACCCTGAATCCCTGCAATCCCTTCTCCTACAAACTGAAACCAGATGGATACATTAACTTATCATGTATGAATTAATGATAAAAGTATGATTCGAAAAAGTTAATTAAGCTGATTTTCTTAATTGAGGGTAACTAAAAATGAATACCTTCTGTAAGACCTCCAGCTTGTTTCCGAAGGGATCATCTTTAAGAGCTCCATAAAATCTTTGAGGAATTTGAACATAACCACAAGAGGCCTCTTCATCTAATCCGAGCAGAAGACACATTCCATGGAGAATCACTTGGTGATTATTAGCGAACATATCGCAGTCCACATTTAGAATAAATGGAGCATTTGTCATCAACGCTGAGACTCTCGTCTGCATGCATGCAACATTTAAGCAATTAGAAAGTTAAAATATACTACATTATCATTTAGGAAAATATTATACTCTTTAATATAGAAAAGTGTCACCTTTTGTTCGTCTAATTCATCATCTTGTTGGTGGCAATTAAGAAAAGTTTTAATAGAAATTTATGAATAAATATTTTATGATTAAGTGAAATTAATATAAATTAAGGTCTATTTACTTGAAATAAAATGTGTTTGGTGAGTTATATAACTTCTTTAGTTATTTTAAAAATATTTAAAATATTTTTTGAAGGTTTAGAGTGTTTTTAACAAAGAAAATAGTTTGTTTTGAAAAGAATATGCATATACAAAAAAATATGTTAAAGGAATATTTTTTTAAAAAATAAAGGATAAAGAGTAAATGTGATCCCAAACAAACCCAAAATATTTGCTTTTATGTAGATTAAATAGAATGGAGTTGATACATATTTTTTAAATATAAGGACACTAAACATGTAAGAGGGTTTGTGCCCTGAATTTACCCTCAAATAGTGAAGATTTTATGTTCTAATACTGTACAAAGATTCTTGACACATTAAAATAAAATAGAAGGGCAAAGGAAATACGAAAACCTTTAGACTTTTATAGCAAAAAAAAAAAAGAGACAAAAAAATCATACGATTTAAGCCAAAAGAAATGATCTACTAAATAAGTAAACCCCCTAAACACATAATTATAAAATAATACACTCTAACTTGGACTTTTGTAATGTCACAGAGATAGAAGAAGTCAAGAGGTGAACAATGATGATATGATGACAATGCTTGATCAATGATAGTCAAATTAAATAATGTTAGTTTGGTTATGATGGACAAATAATAATAATTGGAGAATGATAGTTAGATGAAAATAGTTGTATAACAATGAATAAGCGATGGTTAACAAAAGTCAAAAATTGATTAATGGCAACTATTGTTGGATGTCAATTTTTATCGATGGGCATAACTTTAGAGTTCTTTATATCTTCAAGCTCTCTCCAAATCAAAATCTAGGTTCCCTCTTCATATAAATATTGAAGGCCTATTTATAATTGAGATTGGTATTTTGGAAAATCTTGCAAAATAACAAAACATCTTATAAAGGCTATTGTTGATTCTATAAATCTTAGATCATTCTTCTAGTATTTAAATACGTTAACACAAACTAAGAATTAAGTGATCTATTATATATTAAATTTATGTTATTGAGAACATTAATTTGATCATAAATTTATCAAAAACAGAAGTTAGACATGTCTGAATTTAAATTTAGAAATTATTTCCTATACATGTATCAAAATTTATGCATGTTCAAGTGAATACTTTTCTAGGGTGAAAAATTGATTAGTATTAAAGCTTTGGGTGTATATTAGTTCTATGTGCTAGTAAATTTATTGAAATAAAGAGAAAGTATTGCATTCTGGCATTGCATAAAGATCCCCTTATATAAAGAGATAAACGAAAATTACACGAGAGAAACTAAAGTTTTTATGTTAAAAATCCAGAAAAAGGAAAACGATAAGATATAATCCAATCGAAATAATACCAATATATGAGATTAGAGTTTAGTTTTAGTAGTCTTCATAATTTGTGAAGAGTTGTAGAGTTAGAACCTTTTTTTTTATGTTATGTCTTTGTAGAAATAGTAGATGATGATAATGATAACTAAATTATTATGATTGTGTGGCAATAATCAAATGATGGTGACTTTGACAATTATTAGGTTGTAATAATGTGAGTACGATAGTTTGGCGAATAGTAAGTAGATAGTACTAGAGCAATCAGATGATGGTTATCTGGGAAGGATGGTTAAGCAAATACAATTATGTAGTTTAATCATTTCAACATGACTATTGGTGTTGGTTATTGGCAGTGATCCACTAATATAGCTCTAAAGACCCCCATGCTCTATTCAAGTTTTAATATGTCTTCTTATTTTTGAGTATGTCATTATAATTAAAGAAAATCTGTAAAAATCAAACAAATTGTTGAACCCAAAGAAAAAAAATTTAATGATTCAACTAAGATTGAATTAAATAATATTATAAATATTAAATTAATATTAATATAGTTAAACTATATAATAATGATTCAAGATGTTATTTTTTAAATTCAATATACAAGACATTTTACTCTTGAACATTATGAAGATGGTTTTGAAGCATGATAATTTTTTATTTATATTTGTATTTAATCTCAACCACAATCAGAAGGCCAAATAATCATACTTGCACACTGATTCAACCAACGATTTTTAGTAGGATTAGCTTAGAAATAGTGAATACTTTTCTAGGGTGAAAAATTGATTAGTATTAAAGCTTTGGGTGTATATTAGTTCTATGTGCTAGTAAATTTATTGAAATAAAGAGAAAGTATTGCATTCTGGCATTGCATAAAGATCCCCTTATATAAAGAGATAAACGAAAATTACACGAGAGAAACTAAAGTTTTTATGTTAAAAATCCAGAAAAAGGAAAACGATAAGATATAATCCAATCGAAATAATACCAATATATGAGATTAGAGTTTAGTTTTAGTAGTCTTCATAATTTGTGAAGAGTTGTAGAGTTAGAACCTTTTTTTTTTTATGTTATGTCTTTGTAGAAATAGTAGATGATGATAATGATAACTAAATTATTATGATTGTGTGGCAATAATCAAATGATGGTGACTTTGACAATTATTAGGTTGTAATAATGTGAGTACGATAGTTTGGCGAATAGTAAGTAGATAGTACTAGAGCAATCAGATGATGGTTATCTGGGAAGGATGGTTAAGCAAATACAATTATGTAGTTTAATCATTTCAACATGACTATTGGTGTTGGTTATTGGCAGTGATCCACTAATATAGCTCTAAAGACCCCCATGCTCTATTCAAGTTTTAATATGTCTTCTTATTTTTGAGTATGTCATTATAATTAAAGAAAATCTGTAAAAATCAAACAAATTGTTGAACCCAAAGAAAAAAAATTTAATGATTCAACTAAGATTGAATTAAATAATATTATAAATATTAAATTAATATTAATATAGTTAAACTATATAATAATGATTCAAGATGTTATTTTTTAAATTCAATATACAAGACATTTTACTCTTGAACATTATGAAGATGGTTTTGAAGCATGATAATTTTTTATTTATATTTGTATTTAATCTCAACCACAATCAGAAGGCCAAATAATCATACTTGCACACTGATTCAACCAACGATTTTTAGTAGGATTAGCTTAGAAATGGTTTTGAATTTGGGTTGAACATGGCGAAAATTCGATTCACGATTTAACTAATTAGACTGGTCGATTTGATCCGATTTAAAGTTAAGTTTTATAAATTTTGAGAGAAACCTTTTTGTTGTTTTAATTAAAATTCTAAAATACTCATAGGACATAGTCCGTGTTAATTCTTTTTATCATATAACTCATTCATTTAATATTAAGTATCTTAATGAACTTATAACTACTTAATTTTGAATATGTTGGGTTCATCTATCATTTGATGTTTTAATTATTGTACCATTTACTGATCATTTAAGTATCTTAATGATCTTAAATTGTTTAACTTTTGAGTTTCTTGAGCCTCTGTGGTCCCAAGTTTTTCTATAGTATTTTAATAATTTGATGGGGGCATATTTGGAGGTTGTCTTGCCACTTTTTCCTGTTAGATTTACCATCAGAACATTTAATTTCAGTATAAATATATCTATTGAGATTGATGGTTGGATGAAAATATATTTTTAGAAGCATATTGACCGGCAATTTGGACATCACCGTCAAGGTCTATGTCAGAATTTGCTGCTGAAATTGATTGGTTTTGGAGACGTCTGAAATACAACTCAGATTTCAGCCCCCAGACGTGTGAAACAACAACTCAATTATTGGTCATTACTTAAACAAACAAGGGAAAAGCAGACAGCAACTTTTGTCGTATTTTTCAGGCGTCTTTGCTTGGTCATTCTACATGAGTCCGAATTAAACGAGCTAAGCCAAGATGTATTTTCCTATATATATATATATATATATATATATACACACGCGCAGCACGTTAAATAGGTAAAAATATAGCTAATCTACTTATTATGAATTTAGGGCTGTCAAAAAAGTTCGTTGTTCGCGAACAGTTCGTGTTCGGTTCGTCAATGAGTTCGTGTTCGATTCGTTCGATAAGTAAACGAGACAAATGCAAACAAATTTTTTTTCGTTTGGTTAGTTAAATGAACCAAACACGAACAGTGATGCGTTCGTTCGTGTTTGAATAGTTGTTGTTTGAAATATAAAATAATTTAAAATAATTATAAATTAATAATAATAATATATTAATATACTCTATTAGTAATATACTAATATAGATATTGTATATTTATATAATATAAGTTATATAATTAATATACAATATTATTTTTATATATTAATATTAGGGATGTCAAACTGGCTCGTCGTTCGCGAACAGCTCGTGTCCGGTTCGTGTTCGGCTCGTTCGTTAAGAAACGAACACGAACAGTGACTCCACGAATAATTTCAAACACGAGCTTATTTTAAACAAACTAAATTTTAAACGAACCGAACACGAATACAAGCTTTGTTCGTTCGTGTTCGGTTCGTTCGTATTCGGTTCGTTTACACCCCTAATTATGATGCTGGACAGATGAAGAAAAATGCCAATAATGTATTAGCCTTGAGCTTGAACTCAGACAAATTATTCACGTTTAAGCTCAATTTTGAGTATTTTATATTAATATTTTTAAATCGAGCTCTATTCTAGTCACGACTAGTTTGAACTTGGTTTCTTAGCTCATCAAGTTAAGGTTGCGAGCCACTTAGTTGAGTGCGAGCTGGCTCAAAATTGACTTGGCTCAATTACAACCCGACCCCTATATAAGAGATTTTATAGTTTTCCGTTAATTGTTACATCTATAAGTTAGTATTCTGTGCAGCAAATTTAAGTTATAATTACATATTAATTTAAAATGCAGTGGAATATTAAATTCT